CCTTTGATCTATTTTATGTATGGTTTTCTTTTATTTTAGCTATTGCATATTCTAAGTAAGTAAAAACTTTTTCTAATTAATTTTTTTTGTTTCGTTTCTTTCAAGTGGACATAAGCAAGTCAGAGACTGTAAGTAATTTCTTCTTTCTTTTCTTTTATTTTGTTTCGGTTTAGATCAAAAATTTTTCCGAGGTTATAATGAAACAGATAACAGTAGGGTAAGTTATCTCATTCTTTTTAATTTTATGATGCTCATCGAATTTTTTTTGCTTTTCTTTTAGCCATAAATATATTTGTGTCGTCTTCATCATCAACAACACTATCATCATCGTTCAACATAGAGAGAAAGTAAGTGATTATTTTTTTTTCTTTTGAGATGAGAATAGGGTAACTCTAAACAAAGTGAGCGTTAGTTGGGGAGCGCGTGAGTTATGTCCATGGAGATGAGGCTTCGCGTTTTATGAAGGACTTCCGAGTAGTCCTTAAAAGCTCGGTCAGGAACTGTCTTGGTGTCCGTGGTACACGACCGGGCCTGCACCAGGCTCTTTGATACATCTCTGATGTGAATGATGAGAGTCTGTCCCGTGTGTGCATGAGCTTCACGCTCGCCACGGCTCCACCAGGATGGTTCCTGGTCGCGCGCGCGCGCAAATAGAATAACTATGAATTCTTTTTTATTTAATCTGGATTTATTTGTAAGAGAAATAGAATAAAAAAAAAATTAATCATCGTACTGAGCTTATTCGATATTAAATTTTTGTACTCGATGATTGAGGTACTCGGCGACATAGAGATTGCCATGCCGGTCGAATGATAAACCCATGGGACAACTGAGTTGATTCGACTGTGCTCCTTCGCCATTTCCACCAACAATGACACTTCCCTGTGTGGCTCCTTTTGGCCAACGCATGACTCGCCTATTATAACAATCAGCTACATAGACAGTGCCCAATTGATCGACAATGACTCCTCGAGGACCATTCAATTGTGTAAGACTATTTCCAGCTCCTTGACCACCGGCTACGACAATGCCTTGCTTTGCACCTTCTTCCCATTTCATTACACGATGATTTCCATACTCAGACACGTATACTGAATGATCTCGATCGACAAATACGTATTGGGGATTAGAGAGTTGATTGGGACGATTTCCTTCTCCATTGCCACCTGCAACTACCATTCCTTCAGTGTCACCAATTCTATATCGTCTCACTTCATGTTTTCCAACGTCAACGATATAGAGAGATCCATTCTCATCCATTGTCAAACCGACGCAACCGATATTTGAAATGATAGTTTCTCCCCTGGTACTATTTCGACGAGGCCATCGAACTACTCTTCTGTTACTTGAATCGGAGATGATGAGATTATCTCTCTCTTTGTCGATAATCACATCGTATGGGTAGTTTAACTGATTAGTTCCATTTCCACTTCCATTTCCACCGGCAACCACTTGGCCAGTCGTTGCACCACATTTCCATTCCACAATGCGCTGATTATTGTAATCAGTGACGTAAATAGTTTGATCATCATCGACATATAAGCCCCATGGGTTATAGAGTTGATTAATTCCACTGCCTAATCCATTTCCTCCAGCGACAGTGAGACCATTCTGTATCCATTTTGTATTTGGACGGATATCAGTCAAACTTGCACGTAGTGGTGCTGGAATGAAACAAAAGTGTGAAGTAGGAATAAGTATAGATTTCATTGAAATGAGTCACTCATTGGTTTTAAACAGTACTGAACTGTTCTCAATTATAAAAACAATTAGTATTTTTAGATTTCGAAAACTTTCATTATTGGCTCGAATGACGATCTGATTTTCTAGTTCAGAAATACCCAGGTTAAATATGTACGACAGAATCCAGTGATTTGCCTGCGCGCTCTGAAAGTAGAATTCCTAAATCGGATTCGGCTACCAATTCTAGCGCAGTTCCTGCTTCCGGTAGCTATCTTCGAATACGTTTCCTGGCAACGGTTCTGATGCTTTTTTGGAAGCGACAGGATATAGACGTTGTATCCAAGAGTTTCCATTGTGGTTACGTAGCCGAAATCCGGCCATTTTCAATCTATTACATTGGCGCATAAGTTCTAAGAATGTTTTTTTCTGATTTAACAATAACTTTATTTTTCAACAAAGATATGCA